TACAGACTCTGGCCCTCTGCGAACAACCAGGGCACAGTGGTCTGCAATGGAACAGGGAAGGCTAAGCAGAAAAGGATCCAATGAGCCTCTCCCCCTCCTTCTGTGAGGCAGTGCCTACCGTCGACAGGGTGAGCTCTGAGAGCCCAGGCAAGCAGGCGCAGCTGGTCGTATGAAAAGGGCGGCTGTCGGCCCGGGGGATAGCACTGTGCGGCAGGGAGGTGCGCTGCCAACATGAGATGCTTAAAGGGACTCTTACATAGGAACCAGTCTTCACAAGAACACCAAACAATGTGTACACACGTAACATTTCAGAAGACTTACCACCCATGACCACACCTCTGACGCAGCAAGTCCAGCCTGGATCTTCTCTAGGGCATCCAGAGGGGGGCTTTTTAAATTTTAAGCCAGGAGGATTTAAGTTTTCTGTTTTCGACACTGGGAAAAACAGCCAGACGCTATACCTTGGCCACATAAAAAGGGAAGATTAAAAAAACAGAATGAGGCAGAAGCAAACCCTTCTCAACTCTCTGTCAGGCCTGCAGCCAAGACCAACCTTTAAAGTATAACAAAACAGGCCAATTGCTTTTCTTTCTTGGCTCAAGCGACTCTGAGTGATTGCTATTTAAAACATGGGGTTCTAGGGCCAAGAGTGGTGGCACACGCCTTTAACTCTAGCACTGGGCAGGCCCAGGCAGGGGGATCTCTGTGAGCTCAAGGCTGGCCTGGTCTGCAAAGGGAGTCCAGGACAGCCAAGGCTCTGTTACACAGAGAAACAGAAAACAAAAACAAACAAACAAAAACCCATGGGGTCCTGAAATATGAAACAACATACTATGTAATATATCAGTATTACCCACTAAAAATCAAATACCATATAATATAGACGTCTACTCTGAAGCAGCTTTCAGGAAGATTCTGATTTTCATTCTGTTTCTGAGCCACCAGCTTTGCAGAGAAAGCAATCTATGGTCAACTGGGTAAACACTACCCCTCGATGCCAGGAAACCCTCTTACCTTCTTTACCCCACGCTAGGTTCCCCTTCTTGCTCTTAGTCAAGTATCTTCCAAACCAAACACTTCTAATTAGTTAGTAAACTGGCTTCAGCTGCTGCTCTTGCTGTGAAAAATTCAATAGGAGGAGAAAAATCAATTAACACACACCTGACTATATTTAGAACCGATGTTGAAGTGGCTTTTTACTATGACAATCAGAGCAACTAATGTTGAAAATAAAACAACAAATGTTAAAAATACAGTGAGATTGGAAAAGACAGCTTTAATCGCCACCTGGGTTGATGATTTTGGCTGGGCTAAGCAATCAGAGGGACGGGTGACTGCCAGGGAAAGTCAGTCAGCTTTTCATGACTGCAGCGAAGTAGCTGACACTGTGCTCTGAGTCTGAGCTGTTCCCATAGGCTCTTGTGTTGACAGGCATCACCCAGCTGCTGACGCTATCTGGGGAGGTTGCAGCAGCTCCAGGAAGGAGATCCTTGCTGAAGGAAGTAGGTCCCTAGAGGTAGGTCCTTGGGGATGGGGTTACTACCCTTGGCTCTTTCTAACCATGCTTGCTTTGCTTCAGGTCCGTCAAGAAGCGACTAACCGAGCCTGCCATGCTGTCACTATGTTCTGCCCAAGGGCAGGAAGCAAAAGCAACTGTAGACATTCTACAACCATGAGGGTATCACAGTAGCCAGAGAGCAAGGGGGTCTCCTAGTTAGAGGTTCTATTGCTATGATGAAACATGATTGTTAAGGTATATATATATATATGTATATATATATATACATATATGTCTGTGTTTGTTTCTCAGTTACTCTCTTAACCCAGCTATCACACAAATAATTGAGACTCTATTATATTATTTTGATAAGCTTCACAGCACAATAACTGAGCAGTTATTAATCTATTCTTAACTCTCTAAGCTAACTTGGCTTCCTCCCAGCACACATCACAGCAATACTTGCACCTTTTAGCTTTCTCTGTTCAGCTCTTTCTCCTGATATCATCTGGACCTCTCCCATGGCTGAATCCCCTACTTCCTCCTCTAGTTCCTCTTCCGCTGGCTGGCAGGAATTCCAGCCCTATTCTCTACCCTGCTCAGTGATTGGCTGTAAGCTGCTTTATAGGCATATCAGGGGACAATTGGGGAGCAGCATTTATACAACATTGAGACCGGAGATTCTCCCAACAAGGATTGCAACCAAATATGGGCAGGAGGGGGGAGTTACAGAAATCGGCCCTGAACTACACAATAACCTTATGTCTATACACCGAGACCAAAAAGCAAGTTGAGGAGAAAAGGTTTATTTGGATTATATGTCCATACCACTGTTCATCTTCAAAAAAGAAACTCAGGACAGGAACACAAACAGAGCAGGAACCTGGAGGTAGGAACTGATGCAGAGGCTGTGTGGGGGTGCTGCTTACTGCCTTGCTCTCCATGGCTTGCTCAGCTGCTTTCTTACAGCACCCAGGACCACCTGCCACAATGAGCTACTTTTTCCCCCACCACTCATTAATTAAGAAAATGCCCTACAGGCTTGCCTATAGCCTGATCTTATTGAGTCATTTTGTCAATTTAGGTTCCCTCTAGCTTGTGTCAAATTGATATAGCTAGCACAGAGGGGTAGGGAGGAAGGGGCTACAGTCTCAATGTCCATCAAGGCCATGGCTACTAGGATCTAATTTCATCCCACAAGATTCCATCATTTAAAAGTTCCACCATCTCCCAAGAGTTCCAGAGACAGATAACCAAACCCTTAACACATGGTCCTTTGAGGAGCATTTGTCTAAATCTTTGCAGGAAGACCCTGATATAAATTAGGTTGCTGAATTGTATAGGGTTGAGAACACTCAGGAAAGACCAAAAGTAAGAATGGCTTCTCGCTACACAAATTTGAAGACAGAGATGATATTTTTTAAAATCCTCTCAAAAGTGTGTTTAACTCTTCTACTAAGGGTGTGTTTTTGATGGGTCAGAAGTTCTCAGTGGGCTTGTGACTAGCCATTACCGCCTACCTCCCAGTGTTGTCTCTCCTGTTGCTGAAGGGTATAGTTATTACCACCCTAACATCATGCTCCCAAAGTGCACAAATCTGCTTTGATGGAACCACCCCTGTCAAATGATTGCTTGGTAGCTGACATGTAGTTGGTTCCAAGCATTCATGTGATTGCTGGTCCCACAAGAACTCTCTTTAATTTCCAGGGTCATCCCACAGGACACTCATGCCCACTTGTCAATCACCCTGCAGATACCCTAATCCTCATTTTGTGAGGATAAACGGAGGTATAAATGTGTGCACTTCTAGAGACTGAGCAGGACTCTGCGAGCCATTCTGTGTATTCTGGCTCTCTTGCCTCTAAGATGCTTTTCTCCAAAGCCCACCCACTTGAAGGAGAAAACTTGGCAAAACTTTGCACATTAGATTTGCAAGAACACCCACACACAACTCATTTTTCCCACAAAACTCAGTTTAAAAGCCCCCTTTTAATGACCCAGATTTCCCACTTCCGAGTCCCTAATCCTCGTTTGGACATAAGCTTGGAACGTCTACGTGCTTCCAGATAGCTTGTACGAACTTGTCTCCAGGCTCTTTGCTTACTGTTGTGTGTAGAATTTATTGACCCAACTAAACTACAACTTCTTGAGAGTTGGAACGTTTTAAAATTATTTATTAAAAACATCTGATGTTTTCTTTTTTCACTTTGGCATGGCACATGTCTTATAATCATGTGTCAGCTGAATTACTCTGTTAAACCAAAATTGATTTTTGCCTGAAGCACAGAGAACCAACAGAGCTTTTGAGAGAAAGACTAGAAGATAATAATGAGCCTGGCAAACAGAAAGAAAAGCCCAGTGCCAAACAGTGGTTCAATAGCTGTCACTCAGAGAGTCCTGATAACTCAGCCTATACTTTAGCAGCTGGCTGACATGGTGTCTCTGACATCACCTCAACAGTTCCGTTCACACGATGAAGACCAGCATGGTCTCTTCCAACATCGTGGTGAGAACACATGATAGAGCAAAGAGGTGAAACTTGGAAAGTGTCTCAAGCATGGTGGAGAAGCAAGACATCTGGGGCTAACCCACAGTACTCTTTAGAAATAGGTTTATTATTATTCTGTGTAAGGGCATGATGTAGGAGGAGCATGAGCATGGCACAGCACACGTGTGGAGGTCAAAGGACAACCTCGTGCAGTGAGATCTCTGCCTTTGCTTTTATGTAGGTTCAGGAACACATCAGCTCCTGAGCTATGTACCTGCTGGCCTAGATTCCTATTATGTGCATTGTGTCTTTAGAGTAATAACAGCAAGAAGCGTGAGGATGGTCATCCCAATAACCACGCCCACAAGCCTACCTGTCCAGCCCATGATGCTTCCGGCATCCCCTTTCTTGGAGAAGGCCCAGTAGTGGGGTGCATGGCTCATCCATCGAGTTAGACTCTGGGTGGAGTCTGGAGCTGCTAGGTTAACAGCCTCAAAGGAAACCTTTTGCATGTTATTTCCATCCTGAGAAACACGAATGACAGTCCAATGCCACAGAATCAAAAAGAAGTTCAGATGGCATGAATGCTAAGTGATGCAAACAGAACATTATCTGTAAAAACCCTCATTGAGTCTGAGATGTTATTTCCTAGGTGTCTTCCTGCCTGGAGTCTCAGCAACCTCACATTACCCGTTCTTCAGGAAAATGCATTTATATCTGAACTGAAACAGAATTCACAAGCACAAGTAAAGATGGTGTCTGTTTGGTGATGCTCCCAAAATGACCTCTTAGTTCTATGTTCCCTGTGAGCACTTCTTAAAGGAAATGGTAATGGACTTGATTTATTGATTGATGCAATTATTGTTATGAACTCTCATTTATGTATGCTGTCATTTGCTACATCAAGGCTTTCGTCAACAAAAGCATCCCATTCAACCCCCACCTATTAGTACCTGATGTGCAACATTTAAGATGGTCCTGGTCACTTATTTCCATCCATCACAGCAAGGCGATAACACAATGAATGTTGGCGGTAGGGAGAGTCATTTGGCTTTCTAAAAATCTGTAATAGAAAACAGCATTTTTTTCAATTTCTGAAAGATTATGTTTTCTATTTAATTCAGTTCTTCAGAGTCTGTGGTACGATGCACAGTTTGGTTAACCTCCAATATCCTGGTGGTTTGCCCTAAAGAGTGGGAAGGTGACACAGATGCAAACACACAAGAAAGTTTCCCCATGAACTCTTGCATGCTTCTTCGACATGAACGCAGTTTCAATGGGAGCCTTACTTACAAGCAGACTCCTGAAGCCTGGGATGTTTCGGGCTTCCCTCGGATGCTGAGGGCCAGAAGGTCTGGATCGGGCTGTTACATGACTCCACACTTGACTTCAGTTGTGATCTGGTGAAGCAGAGATATGGAATTTGGACCTCAACCCAATGCAAGGCTCCCTTCAACCCTGGGAAAGCCTGCAATGCAGATCCCTCTCTCTGGCTTTCTGAGAGTCCTGAAAACCCACATTTTCCCTTCTTTAATACACGAGTTTTCTCTCTGTGCGTCACTGTAGATTCATTATATAGATCCACCCCACCCCCAGCATCCTGAAAGCCTGCATTTCTTCATCAAACTGTAATAGGTCTGTGTCCAGTCTCCTCAATGTTATCAAGCTAATGGGTACATATTCAAATTGGGAGTCTGCCTAATTTCAATTAGTAGGTACTACTTATTTTCTTTCTTCTTAGTCAAGAAAACAAATGTAATTGCCTTTGCTTTAATTACCAGTATGTCATATTTCCAAGCTTTTTGACAAATAAGTCTATAAAGTCCAAATCAATTTTGCCATCATAATGACTAACACAGATGCTTGATCAAAATAATCACTGTGCACTTCTGGCGCCTCTGGGCTTCTTCCATATAAAATAAAGAATAAATGAAAGTAAACTAAAATCACAACATTTTCCCGGGTGACATTCATCCCCAAATCTGGAATCGCTGAATGCATAGATTTTACTCCCAAGCACCTGCAAAAATAGCTGTTCTCATGGTCTCCTTCCAGAGAATGTTCATCCCGTGCAGTTCTGTTCAGTGTTTAATGCATCAAAGTCCTGTCAAGCTTCCCGACTTCCTGATCTCCTTTGTTCCAGAGGTAGGTGGAATATGAGTGGCATTATCACAGTTCCTTCCTAAATCAGAGATACTGAGGGCTGCAGGACGCCGTTCCCAGGAGTGGGGCTTTCTTTCCTACCCTTGTCTTCAGTCCAAACATGACATCACATCTGTGCAGGAAGAGCTAAGTCCTAGAAGAGGGGAAAACCTCTCAAGGAAACCCCGGGTTGTGGTCCCTGATAGTTGAGTCACATGCCAGGAGATGGGCAGCAGGAACTGGTCTCAGTGACTTAGTTTTTTTACAAAGAGGACACAAGGGTGAGAGGGAATGGGGGACGGGAGGGTCTGAGGATCTTGGGGAGAAGCAGAGGATGAGTATGATCAAAATACATTAGCATATGAAATTCCCAAAGATTTAGTAAAAATGCTGCAGTAATTTTAAAGTGCGCACACATAGAGGCGGTGCTCGATCCAAAACCATAGCTAAAGTAGGAGGACTAGAAGTTCAAGGCCTGACTTGGCTTTGGAGGGGCTTTAGGACCGGCATGGGCTGCATGAAACCCTGTCTCAACTGATGACATTGAAAACTGTCTGTAACTCTTCACTCTGTGAAATGAGAAATGATTACCTAAATTACCTAGCTTCCAGCATCTTCTCAGACTAGATTCCTGTGAAAACTAAGACTCTAGAAGGTGGGGCCTCTCAGACTCTCCGTAAACTACAGTTGGTTTAACTAGTTTCACTTACAGACAGGAGCTGTGGTTCCTTTGAGGCCGTCTAATCTGGCCAGCTTGGGAGGAAGGGGGCGCTCAGATGACAACATGAAGCAGAACTCCAGGTCTTAGCTCCCAAAGAAGGAGTACAGTGGGGCTGAGCAGGCTGGCCTTTCCCACGGCAGATCTCAGTGGCACCAACACACTCATCCACTCACCCTTCTCTCCTTCCTGCATCTTCCCACCCCATAGTCCATTTTTATGTGTGTGCACATGTATGTAATGCCCCGGTATGTGCACACACTTGTGTGTGTGTGTGTGTGTGTGTTTAGGCCAGAGGTGGACATCAGTATCTTCTATTGTGCTCTGCCTTCTTCCTGGAGACAAGATCTCTTACTGACTTGAGGCTCACTGACTGGCTAGGCTGCCTAACCAGCAGCTCCAGGGATCCCCCTGTCTCCACATCCCCGCACTGGGACCCCAGACACCATCTCCATACATACCCAGCCTTGTTACTGGGATCCAGGAATCCAAATGCTGGTCGTGCTTGCACAACAACCACAATGCTGACTGAGATGGTCCTCTTCCATAGTTTGAATGTGAACAAACTCTTCACAATTGGGAGAAACTGAGTCAGGTCGGTTTATGGAGCAGCCTCCCCACATCCCTGAGTCTTCAGGCACCGAGAGACCTCTTCTCATCTGGTGCTTTTATGAGCAGCTTCTGGGAACTGCAGAAAATCCTTCAATACTTCACGGGTGAACAGAAGGGAAGGTACCTTTTCTCAAATCTCTTTACTGTAAAATTGTTATTGTGCCAAGGGGTCTCATTTTGGGGTAGTATAATAATATATCCAGAACCCAAAACCCACATAATGAGACCCCTTGGCACAATGACCGACCTGGCTGAGTTCCTCCCAATTATTACTGTTATATTAGATTCTTTTATCTCTCTCCTATTTGTGTACAACTCTCCACCATCCACCAAGCCTGCAGTGGGAAACACTGCAGTGTAGCTGTTCCTCGGTTTCCCTGTGATGGAAGCGCCTGTTGGGTCACGTACATGAAGGGTGCTTTCTCTGTCCCCCTTCCTGTTGTTGGAGAGGCCCAGCTGATTAACCTAAGATGGAGAGACCGCAAAGAGTGGGCTGGTTCCTCACACACACAGCGACCTGTCTACCTGGGAGATGTTGCGTCACTTCCCTGAAAAGTCATAGGGACCCACCAGACATACGTAAGCTGTTTGTCTAAAATTAAGGTGGTAAGAAAAATTAAATTGATTTTGTTTGAATTAAACAAGCAATTAAGCTGGATATGGTGGTGCACGCCTATAGCCCCAGCACTCAGGGAGGCAGAGGTAGGTGGATCTCTGTGAGTTTGAGGCCAGCTTGGGCGACAAAGTGAGTGCAGAAAAAAACAAGGCTACACAGAGAAACCCTGCCGGGGGGGGGGGGGACACAAGCAATATCCAAATTCCCACCTGACAATACCTACACCCAAGGCTAAAGCACTGTGCAGATGTAAGATCAGGAAACCACTACTCCGCAGAGGATGGTAAAACTTACATGCCACATGAAATGGGTGGCAGCTCCTTATCAACCCAGCTTCAATTATTTGGAAGCATCTTTACTGGGGACTGCAGACCTGCCCGGCTGCCTGGGGGTAGCAGTGAGGTAAGGGTGTGACCGCTGAGGCATGCAGCAGCAGGAGGGCCTCGGGACTATGAGCCTCCAAGGTGGAGCGAGACCCTCCCAGGAAGGTAGGGAGAGGTCCACCTCGGGCCCAGGCTCCTGGTTTGCTCTCAGTAAAGCTGGCCTCTTCAGACATTGCCTTTGACAGATCTGTGTTCTCCCACGAATTACACTGAACTGCCAACAGCTAAGGAAGAGAGCCTTCTCCAACTTCAAAGCTGCTTCCCAACTGTGATGGTTCAGTTTAATACAAAACAAATCTCCTTGTACAAACGCTCTGCAGCTGAGATGAGATTATGCACCAATAAAGCCACTATAAATTGAAAATATCACATCAAAAATGACTTAATGTTCAGAACCTCCTAAACATTATACCTTAGTCCTGTCTACTGAAAATGCTGCTAGAACATTCTAGTCAATGACCATTGGGGGGGGGGGGGGTATCATCTAAGCTAAAACCTGCTTTGGCCATGTTGTAATCTACAGAAGTTACATTTCTCATGGTTGTGACAAAGACGAGAACAACAAAGGCAAAGGGTTTACTTTGGCTTCCAGCTCCGGGAGCCACAGTCTATCACGGCAGCAGGAACCCGAGGCAGATGGTCACACAGGGAGCAGAGAGACGTGAATGTTCATGTTCAGATTCCTCTCCTGTCCCTGCCTGGAACCCCAGCCCACGGACAGGAGCCGCCCACCTTCAAGGAGGGGGAGTCCGTTATCATTTAACCTAACCTCCACGCTCCCTCAAGACATGCGCAGAGGTTCGTCTCCTATGCTGACACTCAATAGTAACCTCTGGGGCTGGAAAGAACTGCTCGGAGGTTAGAGCAGGTGTTACTCACACAGAGGACAGGGGTTTGATTCCCAGCATCCACATAATGGCTCATAACCCTCTAGTTCCAGGGGATCTGTCACCCTCTTCTGACCTCCATGGACACCAGGCACACAAACATGGACACAGACAACATATGTATGTATATGTGCATAAAATTGAATTTCACTTTTTAAAAAAATATTAACCTCACACCATTGGATCTATGCTAAGAGTCATACAAACACTCGTGTAAACACACTTTGGGCCATCAGAAGGGCAAAGGAACCATGACATCAAGCTCCTATAAGTAAGGAATTCTCTGTAACTTGCTGTTTTCTCCCCCTGGACATCTCTGCAAACCTTTTCTAATTAAGAGGTGGTATCTCCTACCACATCCAACCGGAGACTTAGCCTGTCTCTCATCATCCAAACAAAAGGGAACTCTTAGGCCTAATTTATCTTGGTTGTGCCAGGACCAGGACCAATTCTTTCCATAATTAATTTTTAAAAAATGACTTCAACATTAGATGCAATGACTCAAAATATCATGTCCCATGATTCATTCACCCTTATGGAGTCCATTTCTTTGTCCCATGTCATCCCACATGGCATATGAATGGCCTCTCATGTAAGACATTGTCTTTCCCTACAGCCGAGTCAAGCTGGGTGGCTCAGGCCTGTGACCCCTGCCATCGGAGGCTGAGTCAGGAGGCTGCCTGTACTGACAGTAACTTCAAGGGCAGACTAGGAAACTCGGTGTGACACCATCTCAAAATACAAAACATTTTTCAAAGGGCACATGTGAGGCCCTAGATTCAGCTTCTGGTGTTGGGGTGGGGGAGGCCAAATTGAAGGCCGTAGCTCTGAGTGTCGCTCCCCACCTCGGCCCTAATGTGTTCTGTACTTTACACTTCCATGAGTAAAACCTCAGAGCACTAGCCTGTAACACTGCATTTGTCCAAACATGTTGGCATACAGCACACGCTGTTTGCCACCTGTTTAAGTCATTGTGAAGCTATAGTAGTGCTGGGTTTTTTTCTCTCATTTCTTAATCTCATCACCCCAGTGACTGGAAGCC